TGGGGGGCCATTAAAGTTCATGTGCATGTAAAGGCAGGCGGCCCAGTACTTTTGGCAAAATAGTGTATATATCCCTGCTTTTCAGGGAGAAGAAACAGCCGGATCGCTGTTCCTATGCACACCGAGTTTTCTGTGTTTGTAAACACAGAGCCCTCCGTGTGTGATAGGACACAGCCAGACAACTGATTTCAGCCCAAGTCACAGGCTGAAATCTACTTCCAAACTTTTGCTGTGTCCAATCACAGCACAAGTCGTGTGGGGGCTGCGTGCATGCATTCCCCAAACCCAGAAGAAAGGCTCGACGTTCAGCTACGTGATTGTGCTTACACCTGCCCCCCCCCCCCCCCCCCCCCCCACTCACAGGATATTTACTCAGGTTGTTGAATACTTTTAAACCAGCTTCTAGAATAATAGGCACCTTCAGCTGCCCAATGCACAGCTTTAGCTCACTTCTGGAAATGCATATAGTGAAGAACATCAGCACATATTTTGCATGTCAAGTGCATGCATGTTCCATAATGTGTAAATGTAACATTTCCAGGTATTTATAACCACTCAGAACAGAATAGTGCCCCGATAATGACTTTGCCTGCTTTTCTCTCTCAGAAGGATGGAGCCATCTTTGCTCAGGCATCATCCAGGTTCACTCTCTACTTCCTGGACTGAATTACCTGCTCCGAGATGATACAACTAGGTAAATCCTGGTGCCTGTGCTTTTTTTTTTGGCTGTGTTCACAAATGTCTGACAAAAGTCAACCTCTCTCACCTTGAGACTTGCTACAAAGGTACAATGTTGCAGTCTGATCACTGTGTGTCAGGAGTGGATTCACCACTGGTGGTGGGACTCACCTGCCATGTGGGCTGCAGTACCAGGGCTGGCCAGCGGGTGCTCTCAGCAACCAGAAGCTCACTCCTGCAGTCAGCCATCAGCTGAAGCTGATTGCAGGAGGTGCATTTAAGCAGGACCAGGCCTGTGATCAGTGCCTTGGTGTATTGTTTCCCATGAGCCCCTGTACCTGGTATCCTGTGTTCCTGCTCTACTGACTATCTGATTTGTTGCCAGCCCTGCCTGATCCTGACCTCTGCTGACTTCTCCTGCTTGATCCCTGGCTTGCCTGACCATCCTTCTGCCTGATCCTCTGTACCGCGCTGCCCGTGAGTTATTGAACCCGGCTTGTGACCCTGACTATTCTCTGCCTGCTCCTCCGGTACCTCGCTGCCCGCACGTTGCTGACCTGGCCTGCCTGACTACGCCTGACGCTACCCAGACGATCCATCCATCCCGCACGGATCTGTCCCTGTTACCAGGTCTGCCAGCCTCTTCACGTCAGGCTTTCCCATAATACATACCCTCGGCGGACCCCTCTACCACAGTTGGGTGCACTCAGGGGCCGCGACCTGGTCTCAGTCCTGCGCCAAATCCATCCCCACCATCAGGGGCTCTGGTGAAAAGGCAGACTGGGGCTTAGACTCCGCGCCCTGGGGAATCCCGTTCTGTCACTAGAGATCCCGCCGGGCGGTGCCTGACAGTACCTTACGGCCCGCCTGACCATTCCACCTCTCCAGCCCTGACTGCGCCTGTGTTCCTGAAGCCTGCTACTTCCCTGTGTCAGTCCACACATTTCTGGTCATACCCGGATCCCTAACACTGGGAGAGGAGACTAATGAATTGCATCCTTCAGCCTACAGCAGACTGATCACACCAGGGTTTCTCAACCAGAGTTCCATGGAGCCCTAGGGTTCCTCCAGAGGTTGCTAGGAGTTTCTTGGGCAATGAGCAATTTCTGCCTCTCAGAGAAGTTCCCACTGACACCATTGATCCTTTTAGGTATCTGTAAGAGGGTAATTCTTCCCAACGACCACAAGTGTAAGGAGCATTCTTCCCACTGACCATCACACTATCATTAGTTGTAGATATAGTATTTATTAGCAGGGGTTCCCTGAGACCAAAAAATTATTTCAAGGGTTCCTTTGTGTTGAAAAGGCTGGATTACACCAACTCATCCTATGCAAAGACACTTGATTGGAGCTCAGTGATGGCTTTTTAAAAATAAAAATTAGGTGACTTTTAGTTATACTATTGCTGTTTATTGAGACTTGTTAGAAATGTAATCACGCAGACTTGTAAAGCAGCTGAAATACACGTACAAAAAGTGAACATGTACATTCAGGAGATACCTGCTGAGTGGCTCCAATCTTTATCCTGGCATTCATCTGCACCTGCTAGCAAGATCCCTATCCTCATCTTCTCAATAGGTTGAATAGAAGCCTACAAAAATGCAGACCAAGCATTCTCTTCTTCCGAGCACCAGCTGAGGATACAATCTGAGCACATTTAGAACACGTTAGCAAGCTTTCTTCCTCAAATCCACACATTTACAGCAGTACACATTCCTGCCAGATGCATATTTATTAAGCTCCCAGTATGCACTATGTTTATTGAATTGTAAGCTTCACAAACTGAATAATTGCAAATGGAACCAAAATTTTCTATTAATGTTTGTATTGTCCGAGAGCTGCCTTTTGGTTTTAATTGCTGAGGAGGGAATACTAGTACATGCGAATATCGATGGAAAATGCCTTGGAGACTAGGATCTTGGAGCTTCTAAACAGTCTAAATTTATTCAGCCTGAATTATTAATATATTTCCCTGATATGAACTAGTGTTGGAAGTAGACTGACAAACAACAGATACACATTTATTTATTTATGATGGAGGAACACATTTTTGCTGATTCAAGTTTTCCTTTAAGTGATAAAGAACCAAGAGAGAGAATTCTGAGCAAGGACTTATTGAGACAAGCGCTATTCATTTTCAATCTTGTTTCTTTTTCTTCTCTCTTTTTTTTTTTTTTTTTGCAAAAACAGCCCAAAGAGCAGTCTGATTTGTGCCTTGTCAGCCACTCCACGGTCCAAGAACATACTTTTTTTTTTCCACTTCAAATTTTCTTTTAAACCCATCTCTGCTCACTGGGTCCTACAAAGTTTTCTGTTTGCAATTCCTCTATGTGTTCCAGTCCTGTTATTTGGTTTTAACCACTTGACCTCCAGAAGATTCAACCCCCCCCCCCCCCCCCCCCCTTCCTGACCAGGCCATTTTTTTGGTTATGGCCCTGTGTTATTTTAACTGACAATTGCTCAGTCATGCAACGCTGTACATAAATACAATTTTTCTTTATTTTTCCCTGCTAATACAGCTTTCTTTTGGTGGTATTTGGTTCCCTCTGGGTTTTTAGCCTTCAGTTTTCTGCTTGCGAAATTCTTACCTCCTTGCTGCAGTGGTTCTTCTAGACCTGTGGTTCTACTCACGTGCTGCTGCCTTCTGTGGTTGCCTGCTCTACTGTCGGTTTATATTCCTTTCCCCTCTATCACTTCCTGCCACCTCCCAATCTGCTTCTTTATATATAGACATGCTGTCAGGGCAGGAGCTGAGGACAGGCAGGCCTAAACAATGTAACACACTGGCTGACGACAACCACCACCCACAGACCGAAGTCCCTCAGGGTGCGGAGTCTAAGTCCCAGGCTGCCCTTCACCAGGGCCCCTGATGGTGGGGATGGACTTGACGCAGCCAGGAACCAGGTCGCGGCCCCCGAGACAGCTTAGTTGCGGTAATGGCCGCCACCAATGGCGTGTAGCTGGTGGAAAAGGCAATAGAGTAGTCAGGCAGGCCGGGTCGACAACAACGGGACAAAACGGTACAGGACAGAAGACGAGAATCACAGGTCACGAGCCGGGTTCAGCAACAGAGGGTCAGATCAAAGGAGAAACACAAAGAATAGTCGAGTCACAAGCCGAGTCAGATTCCAGGAGAGTCACGAGAGTCAGAACAGAGTAATAACAACACAAAGACACAAGTGCAAAGAGCATGTGCGGACCACAGGCTTATATGTCATCAGCCACACCCCTCTGGGGGATGGACCTCAGAGACCTGAAGGCTTAAAAGGATTCCCACCATGCTCAGCAGAAATCCAAGATGGATGCCAGCACATGGAGTAACATAACCTCTGGGAAAAGGTAGGACCTTGACACATGCTCAGTACAGCTTACATAGCCTGGGAAACGTGCTAGTTTCTCCGAGCCCTTGCTTTTCCGTGTGTTGTATTCTCTGTCTGACTTCCCGTGTACCCACCCTGCCTCGGTCTACTATTTTTGCTTGCCTGCTGCGCACCCTGACCTCTGCTCTTTTCCAGGATTTTCTTCAGGCTCCCGCCATTTGTACTCTGCACATGCGAGTTGTCTCTGCATTTTTAGCTGGGTGTATCTGGGGGCTGTGACCTAGTTTCCAGTGTGCTGCAAGTCCATCCCCACCATCAGGGTCCCTGGTGAAGAAAAACGCTGGGGCTTGTACTCCATACCCTGGGGAACCCCGAGTTGGCCTTCTACCAGGGCTCACTAGCACAGGAACCTGAAACAGAACTGAATTCTTCCAAATGAGGGCAGTTTTTTTTTTAATTATTTTTATAAACGTAACCAGCTGCTGGGGTCCCTTATTCTTTTACACTCCTGGGAACATTACACTCGGAATACTTAGTCCAGTACCACCTATATAACTGTTTTTAAGCCCTGATAGAGGTGAATCTACCGAGCCCCGAAACACGATTGTCTATATTTTTTGGCTTCAGTAAAACACCCTGGGACTACTAGTATTACTAAACCCACAACAGTAAAAATCAGTCTGTATATGCAGTAAAGCATGCTTGTTATGCTTACTGTGGAACCTAAAGGGTAATCCTCTGCATTGTATAAAAAGGATGTTTGATCCTGTCTTCTTCCAGTGCACACCTTTTAGCTCCTAATAAGACATATCAGTGTAAAGATACTGCACATGCTCAGTTTGGTGTGTATTGCTAGAGAGGTTTTTTTTTTTTTTCTTGGGAGAGTGCATGTGATCAGCACAGGGCCAGTCAGCGCTGCCCAGACAGAGGTTCTGCATTCTCCTAGAGAAAACTGCTCCCAAAAGCTTTAACCAGTGCTCAGCCGGGACACTGATTGAAGTCACAAGACTGCTCTAACTGCTGATATGAAAAGGTATTTAGCAGTTTATATTTGCAAAAATAATAGCATTTCCATGTGCTGTGTACTGTGGGAGACCAGATATAGTGAATGCAGGGTCCGGGGAGACCTGATATAGTGAATGCAGGGTCCGGGGAGACCAGATATAATGAATGCGGGGTCCGGGGAGACCGGATATAGTGAATGCTGGGTCCGGGGAGACTGGATATAGTGAATGTTGGGTCCGGGGAGACCAGATATAGTGAATGCAGGGTCTGGGGAGACCAGATATAGTGAATGCAGGGTCTGGGGAGAGCGGATATAGTGACCGCAGGTTCCAGGGAGACCAGATATAGTGAATGCAGGGTCCGGGGAGACCAGATATAGTGAATGCAGGGTCCGGGAGGAGACCAGATATAGTGAATGCAGGGTCCGGAGAGACCAGATATAGTGAATGCAGGGTCCGGGGAGACCAGATATAGTGAATGCAGGGTCCTGGAGACCAGATATAGTGAATGCAGGGTCCGGGGAGACCAGATATAGTGAACACAGGGTCCGAGGAGACCAGATATAGTGAATGCAGGGTCCGGGGAGACCGGATATAGTGAATGCAGGGTCCGGGGAGACCGGATATAGTGAATGCAGGGTCCGGGGAGACCAGATATAGTGAACACAGGGTCCGAGGGGACCGGATATAGTGAATGCAGGGTCTTGGGTTTAGTAACACTTTAAGAACTTTGTTGTGATTCTTTTCTTCTCTGAGGTTAACTTATGTCCAGGAATTTTTTTCCATCACATTTTTGGTTGGACTGAGCCTATGACAGATCTACTTAAATTGTAGTGCCGAAAAGCAAAGTCCCCGGTTTGCCTCACAAGATTGTCTGCAGTCAATGGGCTAGAATTTTTGGTACTATTATAAGCTCCATTACCTATCTAGTATTGTCTAGGTAAGTGATGAACAACTGTTGTGTGGCCCTGTACTCCATTCCCTGGGATGGTGGGTCAGCAAACGCAGATCAGAATCAGTGGCAGCGAAGGAAGCAAGCAGACGGGGAGGAAGCAGGAGCCGCATAAGCTGATGCTTTCTCTGTAGCGCCAACTCTTGTCCCAAGTGGGGCGATACCATGTGCACTTCATCTGGGCCCTTTCTAGCAATCTGGAGAGCGATGCCAGCACAAACTGGAAAAGGTCAGTGTATTAAACAACACATACGCTGCACTTTTGCAATGGGCATATTACTGCTTATAAAAAAAAAGGTTATTAGTCTGCTTTCACACTGATCTGCAATCTGCACTGAGGCATAGACTTCCATTATATCCTGCGGGTGTGGAGCGCTTTCAGAAAGTGAACCAAAACTCCTGAATACAGGAGTTTTGGTGCGCTTTCAGAAAGTGCACCACTCCCTCACGATATATTAGAAATCTATGGCAAAGCACAGCTATGGCTCATTTACATTTGTGGTTTGGGGGCGGTAAAACCCCATTGTGGATTGTGACCGGTTATCAAATCACTTAAAGTGGTGGTAAAGGCTGAATGTTTTATGACCACTGTTCCCCTGCAGATCTGGTGCTTAATCCCATTTCGTTTTATCAAGCCATTTGGACAGGAGGGAAGCATATAGAGAAAAAGATATACCTCTAATCTTTGAATTTGGGTTGTTATAGCAAGAAGGACTTGGGTGGAATGTTTGCTTTACTTTAAAGTGGTTGTAAAGGCTCAAGGTTTTTCTTATCTCCATGCATTTTATGCATGAAGGTAAAAAACCTGTGTGCTGCTCCCCCCACAGCCCCCCTAATACTCACCTGAGCCCCCTCTCAATCCAGCAATGTGCATGGGAGTCTCAATTGTCCCAGGTCTCTCTCTCTCCTTATTGGCTGAGACACAGCAGCGGGAGACATTGGATGCAAGCTACATCTCTATATGAGGGAAAGAGCATGCACCAGTTTCTCCCATAGCAAGAGGCTTGCTATCGGGGGCGTTTGGTCCAGGTGCGCTGGCTGGGGACCCGAGAAGAAGAGGCTTGGGACTGCTCTGTGCCTGCACAGAGCAGGTAAGTATGGCATGTTTTTGTTTTTTTTTAAATAAATAAATAAATATCACTTTAAGTGGCCATCGCTTTTCAAAAGGTTGACCACCCCTAGTCTAGGTGCATGGGGTAAAGATCCACACCAGAGACTGAGGAGGACAGAGAAGGCACACAATGGAAGTTGAAGTGGCATTATTAGTGTGTGCAACTGAGACCACAATTGGTGCACGTGATCCAGCGTAGATCTACTGCACATTAAGGCTCCATGTACATGGGCCATTTGGAAAACACTTCTGAACGATGGAAACTGACTGCTGGAAAACGTAGGTTAAAAAACATCTGTTTAGCGTTTGCATTTAGAAGCGTTTTTTTTTAAAGTTAACCTCAGGAGACCTTCCAGAATGCACTGAAAAACAGTAAAAAATTAACTATTTCAGACATTTTGAAAGAAATAGAGAGAGCAGAAGCAGAGAGAGCAGTATTTGTTGAGATTGACAGTTTTTTCTTTTTTTTGTGGTGTTTGGATATGTTCCAGCTCATTTCTGTGCAGAAATTATTGCAGCAGTGTCTAACATATTTTCTTTCTTGTGAAACCTTAAAGTATTGTGTACCGGGTCCATTTGAATATCGGGGAAAATGCTTTGCATGCATTTTTCATGATGAAAAAAGGCTCTGGACAGCATGTGGAAATGGAAGAGTTAAAGAAATTTTCCAGACGCAAACGTTTTATAAACACAGTTAGCCGCGTTTACAAGCGTTTGGCATTTGAAACGCTGATAAAATCTACTAAACGCAAGATTGGTGTGTTCAAAAAAATGACTGTAAACTCAACTGCTTGTAAACGACATAGTGTACACCGACACACAGAAAAACATTAGGGAGAGTTCAGGGGTTGCTGAACAAAAACGCAGAAAAGCTCCTAAACGTGAGTTTTATGTGCTGCAGTGTACATGAGGCCTAAATGTTAGAACAGGTTGAATTAGCACATAAAAGAACTTCCTTGTGTTTTCTTTTACCTGATTAAGTCTTGAAGTTATGAAATACTTTATTAGTAACTGAAAAATATCATTGCCTGGGAACTTAATTGGAAATGAAGGTTGTCACCGGCTTAAATACTGATTCTTTATCAAAATGTAATTTGCTACAAAGTTGCCTTTTAGCTTCTATAGCCTATATGCATATATAGAAAGGTTCCTTATTAAGTAAAGTAATTACTAACTAGCAGTGGTTTCTCTCTTAATGAAAACATATTTTCTTCTTTTTATTAAAACTGTTCAATTTGGTTTAGAATTGCAATATTCTAGCTTCTTGCTTGGCCTCTGCCATAGGATGTGTTAATGATAGCTAATAAATGTGTTGTTTAATGGCTCAGTTAGGACATAAAACTGTGCTTGCAAACAAAGCTGGCTATTTACAAGTCCTGTCCCTGTTTGCACTTGCGCCCATGAACTACAGTGTGCGGCAACATAACCTCCTTTTTTCAAAACACAATAAAACCCATTTTATGAATCGGAATTGTTTTTATTGTCTTTAATAATGTAGGTACATATCTAAAGTTCTGTTTTTACACAGTTTTGAAAATCATATCAGGTAGGTGACGCCCCCCATTGTCCATACACTGAATAAGCCGATTTCTGGCGTTTTTCATGACCCTTACCAGCATAGCAGCGGGTATGTTGGCAATTTCTGCGCGGATGTTGGCCTTCAGGTCTTGTAGGGTCCTTGGACGGTTTACATAACTGCGGGATTTTAAAAAACCCCACAAAAAAAAGTCGCAAGGGGCCAAATCGGGGGAGCGGGCTGGCCACTCCAAATCGCCCCTTATTGAGATGAGGCACTTCGGGAAGTGTTCCCTTAAAACAGTCATTGATGCTCTTGAAGTGTGAGCCGTTGCTCCGTCCTGTTGGAACCAAATGTCCCCTAAGTCCAATTCATCAAGTCGTGGAAAAACAAATTCCTCCATCATGTTCATCATATCAGGTAGGTGACGCCCCCCATTGTCCATACACTGAATAAGCCGATTTCTGGCGTTTTTCATGACCCTTACCAGCATAGCAGCGGGTATGTTGGCAATTTCTACGCGGATGTTGGCCTTCAGGTCTTGTAGGGTCCTTGGACAGTTTACATAAACGCAGGATTTCAAAAAACCCCACAAAAAAAGTCGCAAGGGGCCAAATCAGGGGAGCGGGCTGGCCACTTCAAATCGCCCCTTATTGAGATGAGGCGCTCCGGGAAGTGTTCCCTTAAAAACGCCATTGATGCTCTTGAAGTGTGAGCCGTTGCTCCGTCCTGTGGGAACCAAATGTCCCCTAAGTCCAATTCATCAAGTCGTGGAAAAAACAAATTCCTCCAACATGTTCATCATATCAGGTAGGTGACGCCCCCCATTGTCCATACACTGAATAAGCCGATTTCTGGCGTTTTTCATGACCCTTACCAGCATAGCAGCGGGTATGTTGGCAATTTCTGCGCAGATGTTGGCCTTCAGGTCTTGTAGGGTCCTTGGGCGGTTTACATAATAGCGGGATTTTAAAAAACCCCACAAAAAAAGTCGCAAGGGGCCAAATCGGGGGAGCGGGCTGGCCACTCCAAATCGCCCCTTATTGAGATGAGGCACTTCGGGAAGTGTTCCCTTAAAATAGTCATTGATGCTCTTGAAGTGTGAGCCGTTGCTCCGTTCTGTTGGAACCAAATGTCCCCTAAGTCCAATTCATCAAGTCGTGGAAAAACAAATTCCTCCAACATGTTCATCATATCAGGTAGGTGACGCCCCCCATTGTCCATACACTGAATAAGCTGATTTCTGGCGTTTTTCATGACCCTTACCAGCATAGCAGCGGGTATGTTGGCAATTTCTGCGCGGATGTTGGCCTTCAGGTCTTGTAGGGTTCTTGGACGGTTTACATAAATGCGGGATTTCAAAAAACCCCACAAAAAAAAGTCGCAAGAGGCCAAATCGGGGGAGCGGGCTGGCCACTCCAACTCGCCCCTTATTGAGATGAGGCGCTCCGGGAAGTGTTCCCTTAAAACAGCCATTGATGCTCTTGAAGTGTGAGCCGTTGCTCCGTCCTGTTGGAACCAAATGTCCCCTAAGTCCAATTCATCAAGTCGTGGAAAAACAAATTCCTCCAACATGTTCACGTACCGGTCTGAATTCACTGTCACTGTGACCTCATTTTCTTCAAAGAACCAGGGACCAATAATCCCAGCTGAGGCAATTGCACACCACACTGTGACTTTAGATGAATGCTAAGGCCTTTGATGCAATTCTCGAGGATTGGTGTCGGCCCAGTAGCGCATGTTCTGTTTGTTGACGCATGCACTCAAGTGAAAATGGGCTTCATCACTGTAAAAACAATTGCGTCCTCAAGGATGTTTTCGAGTACTGCCTCACATGCGTTCCTCCGAGAATTGAAGTCACGTTTGGAGAGTTCCTGCACAATCGCCAACTTGTACGGATGGTAATGAAGGTCATCGTGAAGAATTTGCCTCACTGAACGATCCAAAAGTCCAAGGGCAGACGCATGTTTGCGCGCAGAACGCTGCGGGGATCGCAAGATTGAAGCTCTCACTGCTTCGATGTTCTCAGGTGATCTGATGGGTCGAGGGACTCCAGCTCTTTGTCTTGTCGTACTCGCGGTTTGTCTGAACGTAGTGACCCACGTAACAATTGATTTCCGGTCCG